CTAGGTCACAAGTTAAATGATAGATAAGTACTGCATTGTGAATCACATTAAAAACAAACTGATAATTAAGCCCTCATGTGATAGCTATTCCGTTCTTTGTTTTCTGATTTTAAAAATTAAGCTTAGAAGCATTACTTTCACTTATCTGTTCCTTTATTTTGTATATGGTTTTTATAAACGTTTCCAAAATCTAGTCCAATTTTTTAAAACTAAAACAAGTAGTTTTCAAACTTGTTTTTGCTTTTGAAATTTGACTTAGGATTCAAATATGTTTTCAGGGGTGGTGAAACCCTTCCTAATAAAAGAATACAAAAACAAGCATAATTTTTAAAAACAGAAAACTAAAAACAAAGTGATTATCAAACCGCGTAGAAACATTTGTTTCTCATTAAAAGATCAAAGGAAATTTGACCTTTAAATACAGAGCTGAAATATCCTCTCTGTCTTGCTCGCTCCAGCCTTGAGATTCATCTTGAATGAGAGATATTGCATTAGCTACAATGGGATCAACTAAATTTATAAGCTTTGGTGCTCTGTGCATCATTACAAATTTTATAAGTTCCTGTAGAAGGGACAGAAGCCAAACATGAAGCTGAATAGAACTATGAAGCAGAAACTGAATTCAATCCCTTATATTAACCAGTAAAACTAGCTCCATAAGAAATATAAATACCTCGAGCAGTAATTTGCAGAGAGGTACATTTCTGATCCCATCTATTAAGACTTCCATAGCAGCATCTGCACTTCCTGTAATCTGTAAATCAAAGTTGGTAACTGCAAATCTAACAAGCATAACAAGAGAATTCTTGACCACAATAGAACAAATATAAAGAAGAAAAGTGTTTACAGATGAAGAACAGCAGACAATACAGAGGATCAAAGACATATAATACCAAACTTAAAGTCAGTTAAACCATACATTACCAGCAGGAATCATTTAAATATCTCCCAGAAAATTTTCAAATCTCCCCAAATAATCAACTTTTGTTGATTTCATAAATTTCATACCGTGTATTTAAGTCGAGAAAAATGAATATACAGAGATGGCAGAACATCCAATTTCTTCTTCATCAAAGCCATTTCCAGTGCTTCTCTGTAAACATTAAAAGCTGCTGTAGATTTTCCCTGCATCATTGAGAAGCAATAGTAGATCCCTAAGTCAATATTTAATCAAACCAAGTGAGTGCATGGAGTTAATTATATTCAACAACCAATCTGTTTCTCATACCATTCGTTTCTCCATATTAGCCTTCAATATAATATTTTCCACAAAGTTAGAATCTAAATCTGAATCTGCATCAAGCTGAAGAAAAGCAGAACGTGCACCAGATAAATCTCCTATTTGTTCCTTAAACCTTGAATTGAAGAGATGGATATCAGGAACTTTCTGCAACAAACACATAAGGATGGCCATAAGCATCACCAGTCATGTATAAAGCAATTGAGTCAAAGATTCCTATAAAGCGAGGAAGCAAAAGCTTCTAATATCCAATATAGCTAGACATTAAAACTTTATAAGAAGCTGGAGAGAATCACATTTTGATCAAAGAGTTACAAAAGCTTTTTCTAAATTTTTAGAGGGAGGTCATCAAGTAACGATCCTTGTCCTACCCATGTCAAAAAATAATAATAATTCTATTCTTAGCCTTCCAAAACTCCCAAAAAACCATGTAAACACCATTCCACCCAAAATATAACAGCCCTTTATTTAGTGGATAGGCACATAGATAAGTTCAAAGAGAAACCCTTCAACAAAAGGAGCATCGCTCATTAACAATCTTCCAAGGTTTCTCATGCTTACAAAGGAACAATCAAAGAACAGGCAATAAAAAGGTAAACAAGACAAGAGACTTTACTCATACAAGCAAACACAAGATTCATTGCAATAATAAATTACGATCATAAATATAGAACATAGAATACAATTCCCCATCATAAAAAGGTATACCTTAAGGAAAGTTTCTGTTGCACGCTCTAGAGCAAGCATTGCTATCTCTCTCCCACCCTTAGAATCCATAAACTCCGCATAGCGCATCCAAAACTCAGGATAATTAGCACAGGGAATTAAGCATCGCTCATAGAGTTTAACCGCCTGATAGAAAAGGGATCTTCAAATGAAACAAAAATAACCACAAGGAAAATGATGGTCTAAGCATCAGAATGATTCAAGACCATACCCAGTCAAAATCTCCATACATCTCAACAAAGTCCAGATAAGAATGCCAATTCTTCAGTTGATCAGCATCAAGTTTCTTTACATGAAAATATGTCCTCCTGATTTTACGCTCAAAGTGAACAACTTTTCCCTCCAGTTGACATGCTTCATCATAGAGTTTCTCTCCAGCATGCACATACTTCTCTAGTGCACTATACCTTGTCGTGGCATCAGTACACGTATCCAGTAGGTCTTTAATGACTGAAGCTACTTCAGAGTCTGTACAATAGATGGGGACTTCACCATCAGGCGAAGCTTCTAATTCCGTGTGCATAGAAGGATTGCACCCAGTGTCAGATTGGATACTCTCTTTGAGAGAAGCAGTCAACTTTCTAAAACTGACAGATGCAATACTGTCCATTAACTCTATTACTAAGTAAATGTACATCTAAGCAAGATATTGCATAACGCCAACAATATAGAAGGGAGACTTGCTTGCAGAAAAGTAACTCTTTTTCATGGCTTCCAGAATGTTCTATGATCTTCAACTTAATCATGTCAAGGAACCAAGAAGTATTAGAGAAAGAGCAACACACCTGCTGTGGTAATAAGACAACTTCTTGGTAGGAAATCTCAGAGTTTGGATGTAAATCAGAGCTAAAGAATCCCACTGCTGTTGAGATAGCTCAAACGCGATGTACTTGTCCCACAAGCTATAGCTTAAGTAGTCCTTTCCAACAAAGGATATTGCCCTCCTAAACAATCTGATAAATTTTGGAGTAATATCATTACTAAGTTTAGTTTTCTCCATTTGTTAAATCTGAAAAAAATAAAAACAGGAAGACTTGGAAAGGAAATGGACATGCAAAGTAGAGGCAGAAGAAAAGAAAAGCACCACAGGCTTTTTTTTTTTTCACCACAGGCATACTTGAAAAGTTAAAATATGCCAACAAGATAAAATTCTATGCAGTCCAGTGGGCACCCAGTTTTCATTTGCAGTAATAAAATTATCGATCAAAGGACAAAAGGGTTTTTATTTCAATCCCGCCAACACATGCATTTATATTGGGCGTTACCTTTTTGATTCACAGTTTGGAAACTCCTAGCACAGTACAAGGGACAAATGAATGTTAAAAGAACATATTATTCCTCCACTGCCTAGCACGAGGAAATCAACTAAATGAGAACAAAGGCCAAGATACAAACATAATCAATTAAATTCTACATTTACATCAAATAATCAGTCCTAGAAAACAAAATGGCATTTCAACCCATGCACGCCCTAAATCTCTAGATCATGCTATTTGTTGCTTCTACAGCTCACAGAAATTACCTACGAATGTCAGATGTATCTTCAAAAGCTGATATGCTGAAGCTACAGTAGTCAAACCAAATACTGACAGAGTAAGTTGCTGATTGAACTGCTTGTTCAAAGACTTGAACAGCCTTGTCAACAGAGCACAATCTTGTTTTAAGAGCTGCATACTTTCTCCAGTATCCATGGCACAGAGGAAACTCAGACAAGAAGGAATCATATACCAAAGATATTTTATCAATGTCATCCTGCATTTATAGTAAATAACATATCGGGCTGAGAAATCCAACAAACCGCAGAAATAAATGGACTAAAATTCCAAGTAATGGCTGGAGTTATGAAGATAAACATATAATAGTGTGTAACTGTAAAAAGTAAGTCAATTGTACAAGATAGCCGAAAATGAGTCCCAAGTTTATTTCATTACAGTCAATCAAGAAATAAATATCTTCTACCAGAAGAAATGGTATCATGTGGACCTGTGGTTCAAACTTCAGCATGAAAACAAATAACTAAACGGCTTAAAACCGATATCAATATGCTTTGAATAATTCAGACAGAAGAAAAGATAATTTGGTCGTAAAAGCGATGTTCGCACCATTAAAGTGCTATGTGCAAGCAAGTGAACAAAAAATTGAGGTTTATAACTCCCTGAAAGATTCGGTTTATAAGATGCAGCTCAACGGCCCACGAAACCCTTTTGGAGAAAAACTTACAGGATACTTTTTCTCAGTCTCCGAAATAAGCGAAGTCCAATCATCAAAATCTAATCCTCGTCTGGGAACACCTTCATGAAGTTTGGACTCATCTAAACCAACTGCATAAAGAAACAAATATTTAGCAGCCATAACACTAAAAATCCTCAAGTTTCTCTGGAAAAATAAACAACTAAGAGTTGAAATCGAACTTCAGCAAAAGTTTCGAATTTCTTTAAATAAAGCGAGAAACACGCAACGCTGTGGGCTATTTACATCTCAGATATGAAACCATATTTCGAGCTTATAGCAGAAATAGATTAAGTCCAATGACTAGCGGCTCCCATTTTCCACCCCACCACCAATTAAAAGTGGAGAGGAAAATGTGAAAAACTTCTTATACACACTGCACGAAATCTATCGACCTTTTAGAGCTGTAATATAAACAAATACAAGAAAACCCCATTCCCTTTGTATACAATAAATTGCTTACTCCGGACTGCTACAATCTCAAGCTAGAGCATACACTTATTTTCAGTTAAGGAGAGAACACCTTTAGAATAACTCTTTCTGCAGTAGAATACGGCATGGGCTCAAGAAAACGATAATTTTTAAGATGAATTTTGGAGAGAAAGGTAACTGTTTGTACATAAAGCGCACACCTGCGGATTCGGATTCAATTGGTTGAGCTTTTGTGGTGGAATTATCGAGAAGTTGAATGTCATTTGCCATGGCAATGACTCTGCTTTGGCATAACAATCAGACGAACGAGACTAGCAGAATCACCGAAACGTAACGAAAAGGACCTCAATACCCCAATACCCTTGAACAGAAAATTTCTGGAATTTTTTTTTTTCCTTTAATTACTGTTTTAAGTATTTTCTCATATGAAAATTCTTCATTTTATATATTTTCGTTTTTAACAAGTCGATTATACTTAAATCTTATTTTTCAAAAATACTTGATTTATCACCCCTTCTAATGGATGGTGGAACAAGTTATTTTAAAAAAATAAATTTATGTATAGTTGATTTTTTCAAATGACTGTACAAGTGATACCAAAATTTTCAAACATAATCAATATCAATTAAAAGGTAAATAATTTTCGTAATGGCAAAAGTCTCACAAATACCTCCTTAGTCTATAAACTTTAAAATTCGAGTGTGATACTTCTCCTAACTTGAAGAATGTATTGAATAACTATTTTAATTTTCAATCTTAAGTATAACAAGTATTTATTATTGCTGTTATTATCTTGATAAAGTCTCACAAGTATTTATTAATATTTAAAAGTATAATAACTTATTTTAAATCGTGTAATTTGAAATTTGATAAATAATTTTAAGTTATTTATCTTGTTCAGACACTTTAAATGAAAGTAATCAAATTTGTTGTTTGGATTAAAAAAAATGAAAGAAAAAGAAATCCATTGGTGAGTGAAAAAAAAAAAATTTATTAATATTGATTTTTAATCTTAACTTATTAATTAAAAAAAGGTAATTGTAATGGGTAGCAAAAATATTTGATCTATTTCAAAAAATGTCATAGTTTTTCAAAATTTCAAATATAGCAAAATATTTGATTTTTTTTTTCGAAATTTTTATTATTCCAATTTTACCCTTATGATATCTGATATATGCCTGATCTATATCGATATCTGATATACATATGATGTATATCATATATCAAATCTATATCTGATATACATCTAATGTAAATTTGTATATGATATACATCAAATATATATCTAACGTACATCCGAGGTAACTCTGATATACATTTGATGTACCTCTAATATACAATATCAGATGTACCAATGATATACATTATCAGATATATCACTGATATACATAAAATGTACGTGTTATACATATAATATATATATCTGATGTATTTATAATGTATGATATACTAAATATATTTCCAAGTGATATACTAAGTACATTTGCAACTGATATACTAAATATAAGGTATATCAAATGTTTAATTTTTAGTGGTATATCAGTTGTTTAAATTATAGTTTACCATTTCAATTTGTTGATTAATATACTAATATTATCAATAATGTTGATTACTATATCACTACTATTTATTCAATATTAATATTCATTAGATACTAAATATAAGGAATATCAACGGTTTAAATTTATAAAGTATATCAAAAATTTAACTTGTCTTTTTGGACGTGCATGGTCCACGTAAACCTTTTATATTTCAAAAATAAATAAAAAAATTTTGCATCATTGTTTTCATCTAAAAAAAATATTTGATATAATAGTATTATATCAACACACATGTATTATAGTTATATTAGTAGATACAATGGTTATATCAGAGGTATATAAGTGGTAAATTAGAAACATATTAAGTATATATATCAAATATATATTAGTGTCATATTAGTGTTAAATCATATAAGAAATTATATCAGGAGATACCATAGTTATATCAGTGGTATATCAATGGTAAATTAGATACATTACATATATATGTGTTGTATCAGTGTGGTAAATCAATGGTTATTATACGTATATCAGTGGTAAGACATGTTAGAAGTTGAGTAGATATCATGGTTATTCTAGAAGTAAATCAATATTATATCACTGATATATCAAAGATATATATCAGTGTCAGATATATATCAGATATATTAAAAGGTGAATTTGTAATTTTATAATTAGACCTTCGTTTTTTCTGAAAAAAATAATATATTTGAAAAAATTAAATGTAGTTGCTATTTTGCTTATTTTACTAAATTATTTTGCCATATTATTTGCAAGTGTACCTTAAAAAAATTAAAGTATGACAACTTTTTAGGTAAAAATACGATAAAAAAATTTGTGTAGTACAACATGTTTTGAGAAGAGGTTCAAACTTTGAACTATCTATAAATGGTAAAAAACACGAAAAAGTTAATGAATAATTTAAATTGAGATTCTATGAAATTTTGCCACATTCGATCATTAGGTTGTTTTTAAATTATATTTTCTTTAGTACATCAACCTAGGTGGATTTTTTTTAATTTTTTTTCTTTTGAGACATATCAAAGTGGAGATTTAAATCAACTACATATTTAGGAGGAAATATATGCTTTTTGTTTTGTTTTTGTTTTTCTTTTTATTTTATTGAGGAAGCCTTAATTGAATTATTTATATTAAAATTCAACTATTTTCTGACAAAAATGAAACCCATTTGAAATCCGTTAGCAAAATCTAATCTAGGTCAACCAATGTGATGGAATGACAGCTGGCCCCTCAATCACGCAACTCCGGGCAGCTGCCTCTGGATCTTCGGTTAGGCGAGGCTTCGCCAATTGAATCAAAACAAAATCAGAGAATCCAGAATCAAGAATCGAGATCTTCATTCGGAGTGCGAATCTGAGAGAACGTAGAAGAAGCTGAACCAGCCAACGGAAGAAGTGGGAAATGGTTTGTTTATCTCTTTCTTCTGCTACTTCACTTCACACTCTCTCTCTCTACAAAACCAAGCTCTCCGCTCCTCTCTCTCTAAGATCCCCACCTCTGCATGCAAAGCTCTCGCTCAACCCCGCCGTTAAACGGAGTTCTATCTGTTACAATCCGCTCAGGTACATTCTGGCTCCGGAATCATGTCAGTTCGAGTGAGTAGCGATTACGGGTTTAAATGATTGTAATTGTTCGAAGGATAATTGTTTGACCAGGTTTGCCGTCGGAAACGAGGGGATTGCGACGGCGGCGATTAACAAGAGGAGGAGCCGTGGTTTAACTACTGTTTGTTACGCTATGCCTCTTACTGCTCGCAATATTCAGTGGATCTCTACTATTTCTTATGTGTAATTATCCTCTCTCTCTCCTCTCTCTCTCTCTATCGTGTGTAGTTGGACACAAGTGCTTTAAGCGAAGATGTGGGAGATAAACATCATTGCGTCTAATGTATGATCTTATTAAGTTTTTCAAATTGTGCTTTTTAAATTATCGATGTTTTGCTCCCTCAAACTGTGGATTTTGCGACTTTCAATCTTCGAGGCATGATTCTATAGAATCACCGCGGAATGCTCAATTTTAACCAACACCCGGATGAGTTTTTAAATGTTTTGTTCCGATTCATTTGCATTCGCAAGGTAATTTATTGCGTTAAAGTAGATAATTCAAACATCATAGATTTCTTCTACAGGGTTTTAATGCTCGCAAGGGGGACGGGGATTCAGAAGTCATTTATTGTTCCGCTATTTGCCCTTCAGGCACCTGCAAGTGTTATATCGTGGATTAAGTAAGACTTTCGATAACTCTCTATATGTTACTGTCCCCTTTCCCTTCTGATCACGCATATACATTGATCATCTTCAAGAAGTTTAGTTTAAGATTTTCTCTGTAGAATGCTTAAGGCTGTCTATCAGTATCTAACATCAAGATTTCTGAGCTATTAGTTCTAACTGGCTTAATTTTTTGGTTCTGGCTTCAATTTCAGAGGAGAATACGGCATTTGGACCGCATTTTTGGCACTTCTTGTTCGACTGTTCTTCTTCATACCTGGTATATTCTGTCACCCGAGTTACCTCTCAGTATCATCTGGTGAATTTCATTGCTGGTTTTTACGATTCACTTCATTTTGAAAGGAACTTAGTTTATAGCTTAACTCTTTAACTTGTTGGTTTGAACCTCATTTTATGCAATTAACTGTAAGCATTCCACTTTGAACAATTCACAATGAAAAGAAAATTCATGGGAAGTCCGATGCTGGATTCTTTTGGATTGTAGGTGAACTGGAGATACCATTCATCTCATTGCTTCTGGTGATCGTGGCCCCATATCAAGTCCAGAACTTAAGGTAAATACTTAAACTCTTAATGAGATTGAGCTTCATAATTGTTCCAATCTCAGCATTTATTATTATCTGTCATTTGCAGGGGAACTCAAGAAGGGAGCATTATCTCATTACTGATTGCAGCATTTTTGGCTTTCCAGCATTTCTCTCGAGCTGGCAGCTTTCGGAGAGCATTTGACCAGAATTCAATAGTTGCAACAGCAGCAGTCGTTTGTGTTACTGCTGCCTCATTCCTCCTTGTGATCTGAATTCCTTGGTCACTTTCAAGTAAACCTTGTGGTTAAGTGTTCATTAAATACTATTGGTGTACATGTAATAGTTACACAACAGTCACAATGTACAAACCTTTCCTTTTTATGTTGATAAATGACTTTAAAGAAGCTTCCCCTTTCTTCGTTTTTGGACCAATCATCAAAATTATTTATAACTTTACTCCCAAGCTCCAATTGGTAAAATATCAATCTTTCAATTTAGAAAGATCATCCAGAAGTTATTATTGTTTTTTGTTCTTTTTGTCCCTGGAATGTTATGTGGGAGGGGATGATCTGAAGGTTGACTTCTAACTTCCAATCACGAGTGTGTCACTGTCACATTTGTTGTCTAGGTGTTTGGATAAATATTTAGATTTTGATCTCAATCATCATCCGCCTCATATTTGTGATCACATGGGATCGAATCTAGATAATTATTATTATTTTTCCTTCTTTAATAATATCGTTTTTAGTCTATATGCAAGTTTGTGAAACGTACCTTCTATCATCAACTTTTTGTTGTATAATTTGTAGATTACATACCGAACAATCTTAAATTCGACAAAGTTGTCTTTCATAGATAAAACTGAATCAACTCATGTGCATGCCGAAGCCCGAGTACAATGCCTCTTCCCTGGAAAACCAACCTAAAAGCTTCCAAATGGAATTGACTTATCTATATCCTTTTATTGGCTAAAAAGCTTCCAAAATGGAATTGACTTATCTACTATATCCTTTTATTCTCTAACAATGTAAAATATTGTATAGCTAGCAAATAACCTATGTGTTTCTTTAATCTACTGATGTATGTTCTTGTGGACTTCTTAGTTTTCTAATGCATAATTTCATGTATTACAGCAATAGCTTGCTGTATAATCTCTTTTTATCGTATTGGTGTCTAACAATGCAAAAATGTGCAGCAAATAAGCGGTTGCCATCTCACTGTGGAGAGAAGAAGTGAGATTTCTTCTGCTTACAGACGATTTGCCACAAGCAAACCCAAAAGGCAAGTCATGGCCAAGAGCAGCAGCGATCGGTTTGTTATTGAAGTGGCTGAGCTGGGCATGCCTGATGGTTCTGCACCATAAATAGACGAATCTGTGGGCGTGTCCATAGTCGGGTTTGTCATGGTTGGTGGTGTCGGTGTTGGGATTGTGGTGGCCGGTGGTGTTGGTGTTGGGATTGCAGGCGCCGGCGGCGTTGGTGTTGGGATGGCTGGTGGAGTGGGGCTGTGAAAAAGTACATAGAGGAATTAGTTCCTTTTTCTTAATAGCTTTGATTTTTCTTACTTCAGTGATTATCTTTTCAATAATATTAATAAATATAACTTGGTAAACTAATACCGTTCATATTTTTGAGAGAATTATATACAGTCCTACTGTTGCAAAATGAATAAAGGAGATGTTAAGGAATTACCTTGGTATGGCTCTGGGTGTTGCATAATGACAGTTACCGTTACCTGCAATTATATAGAAAAGACAGTTAACAAAAATTATGATAGACTAATTTAGGAGATTTTATTTCACCTTTGAGCCTTGACTTTGTTCTATAATCTAGATGATAGGATATGATCCTTTTTAGGGAAACGGTGCCACTATCGGCAAGTTTCTTTCACTTTTGCATGATACCATCTCTTACTAGGAAAGGAAAATGAGAGAGAAAGTAGAGAATAGGATCCTTATAAAAGGTTCAGGTTGTCTGAAAAGTAGCAGCATTACACCACAATTGGATTAACTACAAAGGAAAGTACAATTTGTGATTAAAGAAAAGTTATTATTACTTTGTGACATAGTCAATTTCTATTGGATCAAAAATATTACTCGTCTTAAGCTAAGTTTTGTTGTTTATGACAGGCATGGTTCAAATTTCTCTTGAAAATTTTCTGCTACAACTGAAAACAGAGGGATTATATTCAGAAAGGTGAAAATGCCATACTTGGGTCTGTATTGATGAGTTGAGCTGTTCCTCCAAAAACACAGCTAGTAGCCGCTGGATTCTTCTGGTAATAGTCATTGAAGGCATAAGAAGCATGGTCCTTTACAGTGTTTGGTTGATAGCAGCTCCCACCCGGCTGAAGTGCCGAGCAATCTGCCCCGCCATAGCCACAGGCATAGTCAAGAGCCACCTGCAGAGCAGTTGGGGAAGCTGTAGAGCTTGCAATACACCATGATCCTCCACCTGAGTTTCCAGGCCCTGTGGTGGGGTTGGCATTGGGGTCTACTGAGTTTGGAACGGGTGTGGAAGTTGGATTTACTACAGGAGTTGGAGTTGTTCCTGTTGTTGTTGGGTTAACAATAGGGATGTTATCCAATTGAGTGAAATGCACAGAAGGAGAGAAGGGTGCTCTATCTTCTTCACTCTGCAGAGGTATGTCTTCTTTATTTGCTTCTTGTAAGGGTGGTTTCTCTGCAAAACTTGAACCTGAAAACATCTAAACTGCATCAGTTTTTACCTTTTTATGTGTCAGATTTGCTGCAATTACTGAAATACGAGTAATTCAAATTTGCTGCATTCTTGGATAGAATTCCTTTTCACATTCCAATCGGTTTTCATTTTGTCGCATCAATTTAGCATTATTATTTTGGATTCTCTTTTAGAAGTTATTAAGTTGACAAAGTTAGTATTGTCTAAACTAAAAAATAAAAAATAAAAAAAGATGCATCCATCACAGTAGAGAACACCTTCCATGCATTTGAATTGCATAAAAAGAAAAATCCTACATGCAATGGATTTGATAACATCTATGATAGAAACCATTTCAAACAGGGATCAATCTTTGTCAACTCCAAATTAAAACTGTAAGTGTAAAATATGAAGAAAGGACTAGAATCATTTCCATATTAACAAAATATGCCATTCTGCTTGCAGGCATTGATATATCACCATTACCTGAGCATAGGAAGAAGAAGGTTGAGAGAGAGAACAGTGCCAAATGCCTCAGAATATTGGAACCCATTATTCCTTCAAGTTGCTGGTGAGCTCTGCTTTGTCTGTGGTTTCTTCTTCTTGGATATAGTAATAATAATGACAGAGAAGCCAAGATTTAATAAAATAGAGCAAATGAGAGAGCAGACTATAACTGTCACTGAACAGGAGTTAGTTCTCTTTTCACTGTAAATATTTTATTCATAAAACTTAAGAATCAAAGCTTTATTGGATCACCAAGAGATGGAAAGAAGAGAGGAAGAATATAAGAAAACTTGAGAAAGCAGGCAATGGAGTAGTTGGATACCACAAGCAAGAGAAAGTGCAAAAAAGAAGAAAAAAAAGTACACACACAGAGAGGCAAAATGACAATATTTTTTAAGCTTATTTCTGGTCTTTCTATTAAAAACCATAAATTTGTGATTATTGATATCAATGTCGTTTGGTTGATAATTTGGAAAACAAAATTAGAAAGATGAGTATTGAATAGAAAGCCGAGAGTGAAGCGGGATAATTTTCTGTTTTTGGAAGTCATAAGTTTGGTTAAGGTATAAAGTATGATATATATCATCGGCCAAAAGATTTTTAACGAATAATATTGTCTACTAAGCTTGCTGAGTGATACGTTCAAATGGGAATATAATGATACCTTGTAACGAAGAATATGCAGAGGCACATGAAAAAGTAGGCTAATTTAAATTGTGTTTTTTTTTTTTAGTTTTTAAATTATGGAAAAACTGGTTGCATTGAAAATAATATATTTTATATCTCGTTTTAAAAAAAGCTTCCATAGCCGTTTGCAAAATGATTTAGGAAATTTTCATTTGTGCTAATTATCAGAACTAAGCTTTTGACTTAATTTTTTTCTCCTTTAATAAATGATAATGACTTTAATAAATGATAATGAATTGAGCTAATAATACAATTAAAGGGGAAATTTTTTTAATATAGAATGCAATAGAATCGGTACTGCCAAATTTTATTTGTTTTTTTTTTGGGCTTTTTACACTCAGTTGGATAATATTCACTTTCTATTTCATGTTTTTTTTTTAATTATATTCACAATTTCTTTTTCTTGTGTTCCATTTTTTAGGTATGTGGTATGATCATTTGGCTCAACTTTAAAAATGAAAATTAATGGTTTAAAAGTACTTTTTTAGTTTTTAAAATTTAGATACGAAATATAAATTGTAAAATAAAGAAATTAGATATGGAATGATCATCGGATGAGTTCTAGAAAATTAATATTACGGAAAAACAAGCAAATAAATTTTTTTAAAGTTAAAATAACCTTTTTGGTTCAGGTTTGGAGAGTAATTCTATTTAGCTGGTTGGTTTCAAATTATGACATCTTTACCTCAAAAGTTTAAAAAATTCTTCATTTTGATCTTTGATACTTTATATTAAAATAAAGTAAATTGTTAATTTGAGTCTAGTTCAATTTTATTTTATTTTAAATAACTGACGTAGAAGTTAAAAAAAATTATTCTACCCTTCTCCTTTCCCTACCCCTGCCAACAACTCCAGCTGCACTCCAACACCACCTCTCCCATCGGCCCCACTCCATCGTCACTCTCTCGTGTACTTTTTGATTCGAATAGATGCATTTTTCTCGAAAAATCAAAATTGATATTTTTAAAGATTCTTTTCATCGGTGCCCATAGAACTAGTTCAATCAATTTGATTTTTCCTTTTTTTAGTACAATATGGGGAGTCAGGGAATCAAATTCACGACTTTCTTTTGGACATATTGCCCTAACAGGTTGGTCAATTATTTTGGTTTAATTTTATAAGAATTAGAATAAAAATATTAATAATCTTGGCTGAATTTTTAAATTAGTTTTTTCTTGAAAAGAACCTTGTCTAAAATTACACAATTTTTAACCTTCTCTGAGTATTACGATTGTCAAAACTTTCAAAATATCTACTTTAATTTTAAATTATTTTTATAAAAACAAATCATTATCTTTATTTTAATAAATATTTGTTGAGTATGTATGTACTACTGTCTCATAATTTGGCTAAAAATGGTGAGAAAATAATAGTAGGAAACAAAATAATTATTTTCTAAATTAAAATTTAAAATAAACATTTTAAAAGATCGAAACTGAGAAGGTTTCATATAGCAAAACACCGAACCCACTCCCTAATATGAATAAAGTTTCTTCATTACATCCAAAGAGTATAAACCAAGCAAAATGGCAATTGTGAACATGAATGAATGAGGTGTTTCTGCCTGAACGAAGGTATAAATTTACATTTCTTCAAGCTGACGAATTCTCAAACAATCTGAAGTTCCAGAACATTTGACTAGTGTCACTTATAACCATTTACAACAAGCAAACAGGAAGATTCAAGTTTTCTTAAAAATATCACATAAAAGATATTCCTATGCCCTCTAATTGCTTAAAAGAAGGGCTTATTAGATGCAAAACTTCTCTATGGTTCTTGTCTGCACCTCTCAGTGAATCTACATTGAGATTTGTTCCGAATCCTAATGAACTCATGGCTGGATAAACTGATTTTGAACCACTTTCATGCCCTGAGCTTTCACGAAATTGAGAGATCTCACAACAAGAAACTTAAGAGGGAAGAGCAACGAAAGGCCAAGCGAAAGAATACCGACCGTGCACGTGGAAACCCGTCTTATCCTTGATGAAGGATGGAGCAGTGTGAAAGGCGCTTAGTGACATCACTCCATGCTGCAGTAAAGGGGACATTCTTGTTAGGTGAGGTTGACCAGATTCCTATCATTCTTTTGAGGGTAATTTACTCTACCTGGGAAGTTTTGGAAGTCGGGCTCGATTCCATTTCCATTTATATCTTTATGATTTGGAGTGACATACTTCCCAACAGTGACAGCGACACCAGATCCATCATGAAGTTCGAAAACCGACTGAATTAAGCCCTTTAATTGAAGGTAAAGCATCAATTGTAACAAAGCTTATCTCAGGTCGTTACTAAAAGTTCAATTTACTAAGTTCGGATTGCTAACTCAACTAGATAAGAAGGGGGAAAAACTCAAAAAACAAAGATGTAAAAGATAATTCTGAAGGTAGAAAGAAGCCACATGTAAACTTCCCAGCACATCGAAAAGAATTTATTCGTATGAAAATTTCAAATTGTTGATATTAACATAAGAAATAAAGATGCTAAAGCCGAGGTTAAGATCTTAAACCTTGCCATAAGTTCTTTCACCCACCAGAACAGCTCTGCAATTATCATGCAGCGAGGAAGCAACCTGCAATAAGAACGACTAAACTAGTAAAATATATAAGTTCCAAAAGTTATCCACATGTTATTAGGTTGACCGAGGTGCTCACAATTTCACTTGCACTTGCAGTTTTTTGGTTCACCAGAACCTGCATGGATTGTAGTCGAGAGCTTTCTAATTTAGTCCATACATTGAAAAGTATATGCCTAATGATCAGTGTAACTTTTAGTATGAAACAAATTGTGACTAACCGTGATCAAACAAATTAATTCACACTGCTGGAAATTAATGATTGAAAATTCAAATATTAGTCAGAATTAGACTTTGCAGGAGAAGAGGAAGTTCTAGTACGACTGTTTTCTAAAATGAAATTTTATTAAAGCTGACTTTCAAAGTTCTTATCCAAGGAATGTCAAGAACATGGGTACTATATATTTTTTTATACAGATGATTAATTGAAACTGGTCCATTCAAATTGTTACTTCATCATCTTAGCTAGATGACTGCTTCAGTGAGTTTCATTCTCATTCGTCTATAGATATTGAATAACTATCACTTAAATGCTTGTGTCAGCATAAATACCTTCCAAAGGGTTAGAACAGAAACAAAGTAACCAGACCCAACGAAATTCAGTTTCATTAGCTATGTTAACCACATTAAAAAGAATGATGAATTCTCGCTTTTAGAAGCCATCAGATAATAGCAAACCTAAAACTTTATGGAGCTGAAATGAGAAGCCATCCAGCTTTTTCATATGTGATTAAAGCAAATATAGTTCATAATGAAACATTACCACGACTGGAGCCGTAACTAAAGGTCCAGTGTCTGCAATAACAGTTTTTTGGTATTGAGGATCCCTTCCAACAGTATAGATAACCTGGACATATATCAACCAGGAGAAATTACCAAATATACAATTGATATATAAGGTTGAACAAGTCATCATATCATCATTTTCTTTGTAAATCAGAAAAAAACAGCTCCAGTTTATATCGAAGAGTACCACACCAGATTTCTTGTCTTAAGCAGCAAGACTAAAGAAATCCATTATATTGAAGAGTAAAAACAGAGAAATTATTGGTCATGAAGGGTTATTTTTCGTTATATTAAAAAGATGCTTGGAAGTAAGCTCATTTAGGTATAATAACAACATCTCTGGTTCAAGTCATGAATGTAATCAAGCATCAATCAAATGCGTTGGCCTAAAATAATTCACATTTGTTATCCATGTTTCATCAACTCGAGAAATTACAATCCAATTCGTTCAGGAATTTAAGCATGGGAATGGTCAGAGCAAACACCTCAAAGTATTTGATACCTAGAAAATATTACAAATAAGTTACAGGGAAAAATAGAAGATAAATTCATATACCGTGCTTCCTTCATTCAGAAATAGCTTTGCAATTTCAATTCCAGCCTGAAAAAAGCATCAGGTACAATTGGTTCAATCTAAAACATATTAGATACACACACACACACATAAATATATTCACATATATATTTGTGAAGAAAGTCATAATTTTCCTTCTACTTGAGAATTCACAGAGGGGAAAATTTTGGCCAACTATATTACAAATACCACCTGCACCAGTCCACCAAGATTATCTCTGAGATCCAAAATGAAATATGAAGCACCCATGTCCTCAAGACGCTTCATTGCTGAAACAATTATACCTTATTATTACCAGAAATCATCCATAGAAACAATTCAGATCTACATATTGTACATAGGTTTATGTTCTGTATATAACATTCATAAAAGATTGCAATCTATAACTTAATAAACTTTCAAGTGGGTATTGATTTGTTTTGTCCTGCTTTATTTAACAGCTCCAATACAACAACCAATAAATTAAAATAGTGTTCTATAGTCTTTCCTTCACTCTTGTTTTCCAAAGCCATGACACATACAGTCAATCAATATAGATTGATCCAATATAACACCTATGTAAGGTACTTTCCAGCTTTTGGGTTTGTTAGGAAGTTGGAACTAAAGGGCTTCAATTGAATACAATTGATAAAATTGAATTGAATTGATTCTTAAATCCATGTTAAATTTGGTGCTAAACTGAAAAATAGAAATGAATTGAAAGAGATGAACCTGCTTATAAATATACCCAATTTCAACGAAAATATACCTGTACCATTTTAGTTATGTGAAAATCAAAATGAACTATCTAAAATATATCTTCCATAATTTAGGGGCAGAAATATTCCAAGAGGAAAAGAAAGAAGTAAAGATGTATTGAAGTATACGGAGGTCTCAACTTACAAGAATTAAAATCCATACAAGTCTCTGCCCTATGTTAAAGGAACTGGATCTTTTATATTAAAATCCTAAATTCAATGAGATAGAATTGAATTCCTAAAATGTTTCTTGTACAACGAACCTCTTATGATCCATGAGTTATTTGTGGAATTGTAAAAGAAAGAAAATTTTCATATTAGGTGATTGAATTAATTAGACAATTACCAGTAACCAAGTCTTTTTTAGCCAATGCATTGAACTCCTTTAGGCGAATGTACCCAACAGAAGAGGCAAAGTCCATTTGCTCTAGGCGGTAAAAGACAGGGGTTCGAGCAAGAACTTGTCTTTGGACTTGCATACTTTCTACTGGTCCACAGTTGCCATGCTTGACCTATAAAAAATGCATCCTGGATGATTGAAAGAAATACAAAAAGAAGAAAAGTTAACAAGGCATTTTATCAAATTGAAACCAATATGTGATAACTACCTTAACAGTCACAAGTGTTTCATTAGGGCCCTGTAGTAATGAGGATACTTCAAACGCTGATTTCCCTCTGGCATCCACTCCATTAACAGCTAAAATTTCATCTCCCTAACAGAAGGAGGAAAAGAACAAAAGAAAAAAGTGATTGAAAGTGCACAACACTATGTCACAGTATAAGATCCTGAATTAGCAAGTGATAAAAATGAAAATAACCACGTGCAAAAAACAGAAAGATTTCTGCTGGAAGATTAACTAATTTGATTATCATTGTTTCTGATGAAACTAATATGATGAATCCACTAGTTGAAAGATTGTTTTCAGAACAGTTTCTAAAGGTGGCTTGTAGAGTTTAAGTTTGTAGTGCACCTAAAACTATTGTCTAAAAATTTGTGAATGTCAAATGAAGAACTTCAAGCATTCTAAAGAGCAGGTAACCCATAAGCACATATCAAATTACAACAAGAGAAAACAATTTTTTAAATATAGTTGACTGAACATGTTTTAGTAAATTTTTTGTTCTAAAACACAAAAGACAATCTTGAAAAACAGATCAGTGTTGAGATAATGAACAGAAAAAATAGATTTTGCAGGTAGCATGGTCATTGATCAAACTTGGCAGAATCATAGGAGTCAAATGTTTTTCCCAGAAGCATAGAAGTGAACAAATTTTAAAAATCAGATCAGTAGTTGTTACTTCAGTTACCTGTCTAACGCCCGCGGAATGTGCAGGACCATCTAATAAGAGTCCTAGTACCTTTATTTTAATGCCTCCATTATCATCTGGAACTTCCCTAAGGTTTATTCCGATACCAGTCATGTCATACCTCGCCATCTTGGAGAACTTCCAAAAAAGAAACAGAAATGCAATACAGACCATGAATAAGTTAAAAAAATTGCCGGAAAAGGAACTTAATTTAACGGAACACAGAACCAACCTTTTAGATGGGTCATTCCAATTTGACCAGTTTCTTGAAGCATCAAACATCTCAAAGAAGAAAAATGAAAATATAAAAGTGAAAGATAGTGTTACCTCTGCAGGGGGAAGAAAACGGGTATAAGGATCGCCCAAGCTGGCCAACATTTTCCGGATGATATTGTGAGCCTTTGATCGACTTTGGATTGAAATATTCATTATGTCGTCTTGCTTTTGCTGAAAGCATCAATAGCTGTGCTCATTAAGACATGCTTGCAACGACATTCGTTTTTAACAATTGATTTCTTCGGCAGAATCTCATAGTATTCGAGTCGGGATAGATTATAACTTATGAGGACTTAATTTAGAAATTATAATAAATTTACCCACTAGCCTTCCATTGATTTCGATTACTGGCTCAACATAATGACATCAAATACTATATCAGTAAATGTTACACATAGCGAGTGTAAACATCAAATACGCACGCATTAATTTACCCTATAACTGCGTAAACTGGCACACGATTGGCAGACATGAAGTAAGAACTTGGCCAAGTCGGAGAGGCCAGGGGGAAGTTTTACCTTCCAGGCTTCGGGGGACCAGCGATGACGACCAGCATCTAGAAAGCTATCATTCACAATTTCCCAAGCCTCTCGTACGATATCCTCGTTAGTCGCCGGCGAGGACCCCGTCTCAGAGTTTCCAAATTCACGTAGCTCGTCTTCATTACAAGACGAATCGTAGGTCGAGGGCGAAGAAGACGGCAAAGAATCAGCTGACAGAGAAAAAGTTTCCACAGACGAATAATCCAACGCAACAGATAATGGGGAGTGGAAGAGAAGGCCAAAAGAGAGCACTCCCGATACAGCTCCGATCAGCGTTTTATCGACCAAGGTAGCAGAATTAGCGGAGGTCCTGTTCTGAGAGTTGATGAAGGTGATAAACGGCGGAGGCTTGGGAAGCTGGAAGTGGAAGGGGGAGAGGGAGTTGAAGAAGAAGATGACATTCGTCATCTCCTGCTTCCCGCGGTCTGAGCTCTGCTTTGATATCAACCGCGATTTTTGCTTTGTACCAACTAATTGCTCCTCAATATATAATGTAATAATAGATGTATTATCCCCACACATTCTCATTTTTTCATTTTTTATTTTTTTAAGTATAACATGTCGGGACGAGGATCTAATTCACAACTTTTGATTAGATATATAACAATTACTACTGAAATATACTCACTTTGGCAGATGAATTCATTTATATTTTTATAAAATAAGAATGTCGTCATTAACATAGTTCGATTGGTTAGACAATTATTTACAACTGAACTATCTCGACCATTTCTGAATCCTTTGAATTCCCACATTTTATATACATATATACATACACATATATATATATATATATATATATATATATTAGCCTATCTAATTAGGAGGACGACTCTCAATCTTATATTAGAAAGCACCTTCGATCATAATGATCATTCAATCATTCGTCTGAAAAATATTTTGGAAAAATAAAAATGTGTACAAAAGTACTAAATAAACAATTTTCATATCAAACTTCAAAATCATTTTTCTTTCCAAATATTTGTAAACAAAAATTACAAATCTATCAAAACTTATAAAAGTCCTTCTAAACAATAATGGGAGATATATGTATATGTATATGTTATAATCTCTACTAATCAAAGCCAAATTAAGTGTAGTTTACTGATTTAGATATGTATATCTGATCACAGGATCATCAGTTCAAGTTTTTACACCAAATGTTGTTGTACTAAAAAAGAGTCTCTAAGATTTGAGTAATATTTCAATTTAGTCATTAAGTTTTAAATTTATTTAATCTAGTCTCTTACATCTTAACAGATTTCAATTATATTCTTTAAGTTGGTCAATGTTAAAAGTCAATATGAATATTTCAACGATTGAGGTATTATGCTTATTTCCTAAAGTTTGGAGGTTCAATATTCTACCTCATATTTGTTGTAATTAAAAAAAATTGGAGACGAAAGTCCGTTAATGAAGAGATAAAGGTTTCTATATTTGTCCTCAAGTTTTTAAGATGTTGGTAGAAATTTCCACGTTTACTTTTTGAGTGACTTATTTTACCTTCAAATTTATATAAATTTATCGATCATTAAGTCGTGCAAATTTATTATTACCCAATTTTAAAATTTACATAGGGAAGTTGAAAATTTTAAAAGGGAGGAATTAAATTAATTTTCTAAAAGAATAGAGATGGAATTAGAAAAAAAAAATCAAAGCAACTCAGTGATAATTATTGTGAGTTTAGAAACGAAAAAATTGCTAGGATACAAATAAATGTAGCATTTATTAAAAATACAAATAAAAAACCACTTGAATTGCAATGATTCGATGGAAGGGCTAAGATGTCAATTTCAACTTGCAAAAATGGAACTGAAAAATGTTAATTTAATTCAACATCCGGTAATTGTTATGACAGAAATGGAATTGAAAAAAAGTAGGCCCGACGGCGAGGATTGGAGCCACTCCACTCACCAGCTCCTGCTTCTACATGGATAACGCCGGCGGCTCCGGTTAGCAGCGGCGGAGCTTCGACGCGGCCGCCACAGCAGAGCATATTAACCACTCTCTCTGTGGAATCTCAGCAGTCGCGAAGTTCTTCATCGCAGTTTTCCAGTGGCCCTCTCACTGACGCCGCTGATCATTCCCTACCGCCCATGTCGACTGCTTTAGTTCGACGCATCGCCTTTCTTCGCTGGTAAGCTCAAGTTCTCCTTAATTTTGCTCCACTTGCTTGCATCTAGATCCGCATAAAACGGACTTTAGTATATGAGCATAGCTTGCTCGTTGATGAACGGATCCTAAGAGTTCTCGAAACGTGGATATATGTTGGACGGACTAATGAAAGAATCTTGCGTAAAAAATTCGTGCAATTCGGTTATCTTCATCGTAGATTCTGCTGGCTGTATCTTCTCTTTAGTGTAATATTGGTGATTTTAGTTAAGCCGAACACTGTCAATGATATTTCATGGGAATTTGAGTGAATTTGAACTTAAACGAATGGCGAGCCAATAGGAAATATGCTAGTTTTGGTCATTCTCGATGGATTGTTCAAGCCGGAGAGCAGGCGGCTCCTGGATAGGTATGAGATTGCTCGAGATTGCAATTTGCAATCTGCCATTTATTTATTTATATATTTCGAGTTTTATTTTCTAATTTAGTAAGATTTTGTTGTTTCTTGTTATATATCTTATTTTCCCCTCCTTTTCTTTCTTCTGACATACTGTCGTTTCTCTCAATTTTCTTTCAAGGACAACGTGTTATCGCTTTAAGGATACCATATGTATCTTTGACCAAACATCGGCAACGTTTTTGTCTGAATTGAAATTCCACTTGAAATTCTTTTATTTTCCACATCTTAGCACATCGAGAATATAAATATCCAATTTAGCGTCAATTCAATCTACTTATGAAAATACTATTTCAACGGAGATTTACTTATGAAAATCTCATAGGTGAGATAGGTCAGGATCATGTCCCCTCTACATCAGAACCATACTGTTCCAGCCAGAAATTTCCAAGATCGGTACTATTTTTCATCGGCAGAATATGCTTCATGCTATGAATAAATTATCTTGCTTGTATTTTTTCTTCCCTAACTGTATAAAAGTCTTTTCACTTGTACAAGTAGTCGTTATCTCAGCAGATGTTTCAGTTTCATGCACTCTTCATGGTCCCTGTAGTTTTCACCACCAGCATCATCCCAAGTTCACTTAATTGCATTTATTACTTCAGCTGGGCTTTTTAAGGAATTGTTGATGGTTTGTCAAAAGTTTTGGAACTTTTGTTTTTAATGACTACGTATAAGAATCAGTTACTAGCGCCATTCTGAAATGGAAGAAAGGGAAAGATAAAATGCTAATATTGGAAAAGAGCACTCGCTTTGAATTTGATTTTATACTATCTCCCATTTATATTTACAATGAGCTATTGTCATATTCATCCTATTTTTATTACTTCCGTTACTATCCAAGCGATCTTTATCATGCATCCTTTACATTTGACACCATCCTGTCAATTTTGCGTCCATTATGTAGTTTCCACTCAGTGTAGTCAATCAAACGAAGAGAAGAATTTGCATGGCCATATTCAGTTAGACTATTTAGTTTTATTTTATTATATTTATTTATTTATTTTGGGGGTGGGGGGTTGGTTGCATTTCTAGAACTAGAATATTCTTGTTTCGCTGATGATATGTTGTTTTCCAGATCCTACTTCTTATCAGGATACCAATTTAAGGAAATGGATGGTGGTAGCGTGGAGAAACCAGAAGCCCACAAACCCTGTCACAAGGATGCCGCACTTGGATGTGATCTTTGGACAGATGGGCTTATCTGTGCTTTTGAATATATTGGTAGACCAAAGAAATCAATTGATTCTAAATCCAGGTCCAAGATGCCTGATACGCAACAAATGAATAGTGAATTTCCAACCACACGAATACCTACAACTGAACTGAATAATGGTAATGGCAATACACGTGGGAGGAAAAGATTACTAGAACCCACATCCTCAGACGATCTGAAGAGCCAATGTGGCCAGTTTTGTGAAAGAGAAAGATTTGAAAGCAATAGTTGGTTACCTATAGGATGGGCCAGAATATCAGAGCTGGTTCAAACAATACAAGTAGATGCTGAATGGGCCTCAATGTCGTGTGACGTCATGGATGAAGAAGATGACCTTACAGTTGCAGATCTTGCAGCACCTTATTGGAAGCGTCCCGCCGGACCTATATGGTGGTGCCACGTTTCTGCATGCCACCCTTCGGTTGAGGCGTGGCTCAGAACTGCTCACTGGTTGCATCCTGCCATTAGTTTGGCTTTAAGAGATGAGAGTCGACTGATAAGCGACCGCATGAAGCATCTTTTCTATGAGGTGGAAATCCCCCTAGTTTTAATGCTATTTGAGTGTTAATATACATATGGTAATAAGAAGCCTTTTTTACTTGCAGAGAATTAATCACAAGAAGAAATTTAATCGTTAATATTAAGTAACATGAGATACATGATAAGTGTGCACATGCTAGTTGCAACCTGCTATAAATAATTGTCTTCTTTCCAATTAACGAAATGTGGATATATCATACAATTATCTCTATGAGAATCTCCCACTTTCAGTTGCTAATGTTCAGGCTTTTCACTACGTTCGTGGATGTTATGAGTCAATTCAATTCAAATGTTTATAAGTTGTTGTAATTATATTAATAAATCTGTATATAACTAAAATAATAATTGGCTGACGAGTCATACCCTGAATAATGACAAGTAATCATTTCTAATAATCATGGTTTCAGATTTTTATGGATTGCTCTTTTTGAGTTATTAACCATTTATTTTTTTGACTTCTAGTCAGGTCCCAGTTAGGGTGGCTGGAGGACTTCTATTTGAACTACTAGGACAATCTGCTGGTGATCCATTGAGTGACGAGGATGACATTCCCGTTGTACTTCGGTCTTGGCAAGCTCAGAACTTCCTGATAACGTCACTGCATGTTAAAGGACCGATATCAAACATAAATGCTTTGGGCATCACAGAAGTTCAGGTTGTTTTCCATTAAGGAAATCATTCATTTTGCCTCATTGCACTGGAAAAGTTGTACACTTATATTACTATTTTTCTGATTTTTCTTCCTGTTTAACCTCTGGCTAGGAGCTTCTGATAATAGGAGGTTACAATTCACCAAGAACGGTACATGAAGTTATAGCACATCTGGCTTGCCGTCTTACAAGATGGGATGATAGGTAATAACTTCATTTTAAGAAGTTGAAAATGCAGTTTCATAGTCGGCCGTTCAATAATTATTATATATTCATGGATAAAATTAATTTTCCTTCATCATATGTTAACTATACATAAATTATACGGCTATTTTTTCTGTGTATAGTAATAGATTAATCTGTATGGTTGACAAAGATGCCAGAATGATTTTTTCTAAATATGTGTCTTCTCCTCTAAAAGAGTATAATATTTTTCTGAAAATAAAGGTTCATGATAGTTATATGTCAAGAGGTCCAAAACCATTAGGCATCTTCCTTGACTCGAGTCTTGTTTCTGGTGTCAAATATTCCACAATACCATGACCAATGTATTAAATTGTTAAACCTTATATCTTTAATTATTCCTTTTCTAACAGGTTATTTCGAAAATCTATATTTGGAGCAGCAGATGAGATTGAACTGAAATTTATGGACAGGTTTTTATCTTGCATATCATCTATTATAGTGATAACTGATATCAAAATGGTTTATCTCTTTTATCTGCATTTTCTCATTAATACTCTCCTTGATCCTTTTTCCCATTTATATATAGGAGAAACCATGAAGATATGCATCTGTTTAGTATAATCTTGAATCAAGAAATCAGAAAATTATCAAGACAGGTATGCTGCCTCCTCACTGCACTCAATAGTCGTGGAAAAATTTCCTTGATTTCTGTTGTTCTAAATAATATTGCCATTGATTCATATGTTGGTTGAGATTTCTCCGGTAGTTGCTTGCAATAAAGAACATTTTTGGAATTGTGTCGTTTCAGTTCTGCTTTATTCTTTAGTTTGGAGAGGAGCAAGTTAAAGATCAAGTTCGTTCAAAATAGAGTCGAGGCATTTACTTCCTGGGCTAAGAATGTTAAATCTTTATAATCTGTTTTATACTTCCTCCTCAGTCTAAGACACACACAATTACGTATCGGAAACACGACTCACCTTGGCACTTCTTTCTCCACTTCTTAGAGATACTTTAGTTAGTTATGGTGAAATTTTGTTTTATTTTCTTTTTATCCTTCGATGGATGAAAGGACAAAGCAGTGATCTTGTGTATGTACATCTCTCTTTTGAAACAAATATACTTCATTTCTATTGCAGGTTATCAGAGTAAAATGGTCACTGCATGCGAGAGAGGAGATTGTATATGAGCTACTTCAACATCTACGAGGATATGTGACAAAAAGCTTATTGGAGAGCATAAGAAAGAGTACTAGGCAAATGATTGAAGAGCAAGAAGCAGTTCGTGATCGTTTATTCACCATTCAAGATGTCATGCAGAGTAATGTTCGTGCATGGTTACAGGTATTTGATTCTATAATAATTTAATGAGGATATTTCAATGGCCTTTTGCTATCTACTCTTTTTTTAATTTTATATTTTTGAAAATAAGGGATACTAAGAATGCACTCAATTTGTGTTTGACAGACTACTAAATTTCTGAAAATGATTTTTAAGAATAGCAATCTATGTGGAAACATCCTTTCGAGTTTCGATGTTATCTATTTCTGCGGCATGCTTGTTTTCAATTTCTTTGTGGCTAAATTATAAAAAATACTCCTGAGTTTTGGCATTTGTTTAAAATACCTCTATCCTTTCAAAAGTTTCAATACTACTTTTACCTTTCATAAAAATGAGTAAACATTTGCTAATATTTTGAACGGAAAGTTGATGTAGCAGAATTTGAAACAATGTGGCAATTAACGTGGAGGTGTCTTTCGTATTTTCTATCTTTTCAGACTTATTTCCGTATTTTCTCTCTTTTCAGACTTATTTCTACATTTTCTCTCTTTTCCAACTCAATTTTGCCGTAAAAGCCTCCTTCCTCCCTTGTCAACAGGGTTTGCTTCTCTATTAATCTACCCAATTTTGCCCTAATCTCCCTTTTAAAAACGATAGCTTCTTCCACATTCTCTCTTTTCAAACTTAATCCAAACAAACTTTCACATTAATTGACCTATCGTTTCAAATTATCTCACGTCAACTTTTCGTTCAAAATATTAGCAGACATTTGCTCAAAGGATATTTTTGAAACTTTTATGAAAGGTATTTGTAGTATTGAAACTTTTGAAATAGTAGATGTGTTTTTGAAACAAAAGTTAAAGTTCAGAGGTTTTTTTTTATTTAACCTTTATTTTTTAATCAGACGGAGCCACAGTCTACATGAATCAAACAAATGGCCTGTCAAATGAAAAACACCTCTTGTGAAAATCTGACGGGTTCCATCTTTCTCACAACAATTTTCCAGGATAAAAGCCTCCGAGTAACTCATAACTTGGCGGTTTTCGGTGGCTGTGGCCTTGTTCTTTCCATAATAACTGGGCTGTTCGGAATCAATGTAGATGGAATCCCTGGATCGCAGGACACGCCATATGCATTCGGGTTATTCGCAGCAATCCTATTCTTCTTGGGGATTGTACTAATGGTAGGGGGGCTGATTTACCTTGGCTTGAAGAAGCCCATGGCAGAAGATCTGGTTGAAGTCAGGAAGCTGGAACTACAAGAGTTGGTTAAAATGTTTCAGCATGAGGCAGAAACTCATGCTCAGGTACGGAAATCTCGTACTCGCAATAATATGACTCCTACTGCAAGAGATGTTTTCACAGCTGATGCAGATTATGTACTCATCGAATAAAGATGGCGACTCCATAAATGATGGAGATGGAGTATGACGTGTTGACGTGACGAGTGGTAGATTGTCTAACAACTGCAAGTTTCTGACAAATAGAGATGATGCTCAAGGGCAGCCTTGTTTTGTGTATTTCTTGGCTATAAAGAAGAGAGAGTAACAGCCCATGCAAGGTATTGTTTAACTAAAGCATAAGTATATTATTTGGATAGATGTCATAGCATATTATATAGGTAATTTATAATGAATAGCTAAAATATTTGCCATATTTGCAAATATAACCACAACTTTTAGGCTTTGCAAATATGGCAAAATATTTGAAATTTAACTTTGATTTTTTAGTTATCCTGATTACACCCTTCCAAATTTTCAAATATATCATTGTGATATTAGCATTCATATCAGATATGTCAAGTCTATAGTTGGTAGATAATACTCATAATCAGGTATATTACTGTTATTGATTCCTTTATTCCTTTAGTAATAAAACAAATCAAGTATATCAATAATATATAACCATTAATATCAAATATTTTTTTTTTGAAACACCATTAATATTAAATATAGAAAACATGCATTTAGGTTATTTATCTAAAATCTATAAATAACATAACACAATTCAATAAGATAAATTGAGCAGGATAAAGAAATAATATATTAGAAATATTATTGGCATATCAACATTCATATCAAGTAATGAAATTCATTAGTACATCAGCACTCATAATCAAGTAGAGAGGTAAGGTATATCATTGTTTATCCATATTTGGGTTCTGTTTTCATTAAGTGTATATTGAACTTTTGCTTTCCTTCTTTGTAGGCTGAGCCTTCATATTTTGCCATTTTTATAGTTGCTACTTTTGTAAGTGCCCCTATTATATATGTATAAGTAGATTTTTAGATTTTTTTTCCTTTCTTTTTCAAGGGTGAAAGGATTCAAGCTTTTTACCTCTAGAGAGGTAAATAATGGACTAATTGAGATGTTCATTTTCAGCCAGTAAGCAGAAGTACGTATAAACATAAATAATAAAATATCATCTAGTGGCTCATTATCTCTGTCAAAGAAATCTGGCACGTGAAATTGACTTGAAAATCTTATTTATTTATTTAGAATAGAACTGTTCTCGTACCTCAAATGAACTAATGAGGTGGTGCCAAGAGTCTCAAGGAATATCACTAATTAAGGTACAGGGAAACTCTTAATTTTTGCCGTTAACTTAAGTGTAGTTCAACTAATTGTATATCCCCCACCAAAAAATCGTCCGTTCGAATTGTCATTATCACGTGTACTTTTAAAAACTCATAATTTCTGCTTTAATTTGACATAATAAAAAGGTTATGTTATATTGAAATTGTAAATTTAGTGTTCATACTTTAAAAATGGTATCTACGTTCTATACCTTCAAAAATTTTAATTACATAATTAAATGTTAGATTATAGTTTGGTTGGAAACACTATTAATAAGATCTTGAGAACTGCTCTTCTACTCGATTATTGGATTACACTTTTTACGTTTACGTTCATCAAACCATTTGTAAAGTAAATTTCAAGAGAAGAATACTGAAATCACTTTTCACATCATTAAAGTCACTTGGGACATGTTTGAAATAAATTTTACCCCAACTAAAATCATTTTTATCATTGCAAAAATGATAAAAATCACTTTTATTCAGATATAACATTTCACAAAGTAATTTTAGAAAATGGTAAAAGAACTTCCAAACATGTTCTAAGGCTCGCGTTAAAGCATACCCTCCTGATTTTATCTTTCTGTCTTCTAATCTAATATTCAAAGTTGCCGATCATAAAGAGAATTTTTTCACCCTTTTTCAAAAAACAACAGTACTGGCAGCCCTACGTTTAAAAACCTGCTCGATCCTCATGTAGTGTAGCCAATAACCACAAACATCAAAAGGCCAAGAAAAAAAAAAATTAAGACATTGATTCAGAAAATCTGGTAACTCCACATTTAACATAATCTCACAATGCACCACATCTGCTCAAATCCAAAAATCAGGTTTAGCCGAAGGCACACAGCAGAATATGAGCGGAATATACAACACATGAGGCTATTGATAACTCAACATTAATCATCTTTTATCAAAACACCAGGTTATCTCAACCTGATTCTTTTCCCCCTTTTCCGGGTAGGACTCACTCACTTTTATCAGCCAAACATATCATTTAAGAAGAGATCTTGCTAGATGTTCGCGAGCTGTGGCCAATGCCTGACTTATTGTCTGCAAGAGCAGGAGCGAGAAACAACTTTTAAAGATGCTGGAAAATATAAGGGAGAAAAGTGAAAGGAAAAAGAATCTGAATTATTTTATTGTGTACCTGTTCAGACAAAGGAGCACCAGTGTCAATGCTATGACTTGCGACCTTCCCTGCAATGACATTTGCATCTGTCTCGAGAATAATGCTGCACGAAAGAAAAAAAAAACCATTAAAACACTAATAGAAAAGAGTAACCACTTTCTTCTGCAATTAACGTGGTTCCATAATGCCAACATGATTTGTAAAACGAAAGTATAATACTACTGCATTGCAATTTTAAAAAAGCAAAGTGATAATTCCCTTCACAAGGGGCAGTGAAAACGGCAAACCACTTGGATATTCAGTTGAAAAGGAATCTATTCTAGAATAACCTTGAGGAATAAATCAGTAAAATTAAATTGTTTGTAGTTTCCATTAGAATTTGGTTACCAGTACACATGTGAAGAGGAGTTTTAAATAATTACAAAAAGCAATTGGTAACTTTCTGATCTCATGAATAAAACAACCATTGGTAAAATTATCCGTTTGAGTTAATCCACGCAAGGCCTCTATTATCCGGTTATGTGTTCACTTATTTTTTTGTGGTTGGCGTTGGCAAAGAGAGGGTCCATCAAGTTGAGCCACCTAAAGTTGAGCCACCTAAACTCTAGCAACCAGACAAAAATTTTAAAGAAGTAAACATATACGTCAACCTCAATATCACTCAATTGGTTAAACATATATCCTCGAGATTTGAATCCTCGTCCCTACATATGGTTGAACCAAAAAAAATAAATAAGTAAACCAGAGATTTTGTTTGTTGGGATTTATGTTTCGTTATATAATGTCATCTACCATTATCATCATAATTTTTTTTTTGATATCCGTGTGTTTGGGCCAGCTTGCGAGCACCTCGACTATTCACGGGCCAACCACCTGACCCTACTACATTTGGTTGATAAGGAAACTCGTAGGATATTAAATCGTAGGTAGGTGGCCACCATGGTTTGAACTCATTCCTTCTAAGTCCTTTGCTATTTACATTGACCCTCGTTGACCACTTGAGCCATCCCATGATGGTTACCATTATCATCATAATTACCAGAAGTTTTTCTATAAACTTGTGTAAACAATTCACTAGTGACATAATCGAAATGGAGAGGTGAGACGGCCAAATCTCTTATCCAGCAACAAACCACCATGTCAAGATAAACCAGTACTTCAACAGGTGACAATCTCTTAGACTATTTTATAGCAGTTTCGCAACTACAATGAACGCATATTCCTCATTCATCTACAAATTTTTTTCCACGTATTCATGAAACTATTCTTTCCTGATGAGTAATGACATTTAAGTACTGCTACCATAGATTATTGCGATATAATCATCTAACAACCCATGCTTCCATTTTCATGTTTGCAATAGGCATGGCCATGAACTTAAAGAGGGTAGTAAATGTAAAAATGGCACAATCAAAGTACAGAAGATTGATCAATAGAAGGAAATAGAAGAACGGGTAACACAATTGAAATGCAGCAAATGAAGGTATGAGGAAATAAGCTAATGAGACATACCCTCCGTCAATAATTTCATCGAGACATAGTAAAATGAGGTCCAAGTTCTCAAGTGCCTCCTTCTTTTCTACATTACCCCTGGAATAGAAGAAACAAAGATAAATATCTAAGAACACTATGATCAAGAACAGTAGTACGGGCCAGCACATAAGGATCCAAAAAATGAAAATAGTCTCAAGACCTAAGAAGAATGCCCACAGCATCAAAAAATCCCTGAAGAACGGATGCTAAAATGAGCTCATTTTCATCTTCTCCACCCGTAACAAAAAAATGAAGGTCTTGAACAAACTTGTAAACCACTATATTGTTTTCAAACATTGCTATCTCCGCTGTATAAGAACAGTAGATACCAAGTTAGCATGTAGAAAAGGAATTTTCCAATCATATAAGGCATAAAAAGCATTGTATTCTACAAAATGTTACTAGACTGGTAGTGGTAGATGGTCTAACAGCATGTGGAGATTTTTTTTTTTTTTTTTTTTTTTTTGGGATACGAATGCTGAGAACAAAATAGACTTTCAAAGTCGAATGACTAACCCGTGCTACTAATAGTCACGATAATGTGATTGAAAAAATAATTCTTATTCTTATTTCTTATGATACAAAACAATGATTATGGATAAACCAAATCAAATAATTTTACTAAAAGATTCAGAAGCTACTTTATTGTGATTAAAATGACATTGAAATTGAATTAAATAGGAGGAGCTGATATGATTAAGGACAAAGACTAAAAGAAAAAACAGTTAAAGACTGATACATGAAAAAGTAACAACCCTCTGTTCGAGCATTCGTCTTCTGAGTTTTGGTGAAAACGGCTTTCTCAAAAGCTTCCTTTGCACTATTTGTAGGCCAGTCATCTGAATAATACTTGACAGCTACACGTTTCCCTTCGGAATCCAAAAGAAGAATGTTTTTAATGGAAGGGCAAGATTCCTGTATATAGTAAAGCAAAAGGGTTAGAATTGGGGGAATAGCCTTTTCCTGAGCACCAGATGTTTTTTCCCCCGAAATAATTGTCACCGCTAACTGGTCTGAGGGCCAAAAGACCTAATTCACCAAGCAACATTCATAAACTATAAATTAAGCTACAATACAACAGAATTTGAGATTGCGAAGCCCTCTGAATGAGCTTCACAAACATTCTTATAGAGCATACAGCTATACTAATCAAGATCCTCCCAGTTGCTTCAACTATTGTCACTAAAATCTATAAACGAAATAAAATGAACCGAGAAATTGAGTTTCATAGAGTGAGATTAACTTAGAATTAGGATTTTTCCAGGTGAAATGTAAAAATCTTGCAGTCATCGGCTAGATTCATAGAAAAGGCACAAACTCGACCCGAAGGAAGTAATGCGCAGACAATTCAAATCTTTCAAAGAAATTAGCAAGATCTATCTAAGCAAAGACAATAATACGCATCAAATTATCGAGTTCATAGATCGATCTGTGCCTACGAACACATTATTAAAGTGAGCTCAGAAGCCAGATCTACTAAAACATCAACAAATCCGACGTCCAAAATCGTCGAACATAACTGTGTAACTAGAATAAAACTTCACAATCCGAGGATCAAACTTCGTCCCGGAAAACCCACAGGTAGTTACTACAAGACATTTCTAAAAGCTGAACTTGACGGAGAGAGAATCAGGCGAAAAAGTAACAGAAGTATGAAACAAAGACACAATTAGTTCAAGATGAAGAAAGAAACTGACCATGTGGTTTGTGAAAATTTTCCCGGGAAATTACTCTTCGTGAATTCGGACGCCGTCGGATCGCTCTCGCGTTACAGACGAAGCCACAGGACGAAAACCGAAAAAAGGGACTCTGTTCAAATACTTTGGCGACTCCGGCAGGTCCCCGAAGTAAACTAATATACAAAACGAGGCCCTCACTTTTCCATAATTAAAATTTTACCCGTTTCTTTAAATATTTATGTTTCCGACCACTTTGTTATGGCCATGGTCCATTTGAAGTTTTAGTGTATGTTGTACATGATATTGTACAACAAGGATAAGACTTTAATATTAACCCCGAACATAAGACATGAGCCAACAAGGATAATTATAATTCCAAAAACGCGTGATTGATCGATGGAGACTGAATTTTGCCAACACATCTGCTGCTTTGTTGAGAACGCAAGGTAGGTAATTGAATGAAATGAATGAAAAAAGTAGGCTAGCTGCTTGATGTCGAAAATTTAATTGGATTCATCTCCGTTGGACGAAGGCTCTCCGTCAAGAAGTATAATTGAGGTGAGTGAATTAGATTCGACAAGGAGGAGACTACAATTGATTCGACAAGAATGACTCGAAATTCAGCCAGCAAAACAGTGTAGATGAAAATTGATCCTGCTACCTGAATTTTGTCCCAAAGAAGAACCCCAACTAAGTGCCACTGAATTGCCCTCCACAAGTTCCATTGACATTTAATTTGGGATAGCCAATGAGAGGTGGATTCTAGACTTGGGGAGTCCCTATACTCGAAGAAGCTTTCGAATATGTTGCTAACTGTTTTGAGGCACTTCTAAAATTTTCGGAATTAGTTCCAATCCAATTGCACTTTAGGTTAATATCATGGAGATGTTTTTCATGAATTCATTGTTTCGATTTGTCCATAGAACCAAACAAGTAATGACCGCTATGTCCCATTCTTTAAACTACATTTAAAGAAACATTTGGTAATGTTACGACTTTACAAATATTTTATATATGATATTAAATTAAATTTCAGCACATGAAATATCAAATGCTAATTAATTTAGAATTTCAAGTAAAAGGGAGAAGATCAAAAGTCAAAAGTTAAAATTTGAAAATTGTCCAATTAAATTTGGGAGGGAGAAAATATTTATACCATTACTTTCTTTCCAACTCAACATAATATATATATATATATATATATATATATATATATAATACAAATAGGTATTTTCGACATATCCATATAAAAAAGTTAATTTTAGGTATTTTCCGCATATCTATATTAAAAGTTAATTTAAAATGTGGCATGTGACATCAACTTATTTTGAGAGTTACCAACCTAAATATAACTCAATTAGTTTAAACACATATTTTCAATCGAGTTATCATGAGTTTGAATCTACAACCCACGTGTTGTAGTAAAAAAAAAAAAACAAAAAACAAATTGAGAGTTAAATTGTAAAATTATAAAATTCTAAGATATTATTTCCAACACCCTTGGTCATACATCCCAAGACTTTTGTTACTCAACTAATTGGTGGAATTAAAAAAAAATTATTCTCTCTTTTTTACCATATTTTAAATCCACAAACTCACCCCCTTTAATATGAAAATCGGTAATCTCACAATGAAAAGACCACATGTTCCAAATTCAAATGTAATATACTAAAAAAGAAAAGAAAAGAAAACACACACATATACAGCACTATACCATTCCATCAATGAATCCTACCCTGAAATCTCTGAACTCAAAAAAATATATAATATATAATTTACTAAAATATGAATTTAGTAGTTAGTACAACAAATTCTACCAAAAAAAAAATGCTGGAACAAGAAGTCTGTTAAAACTTCCGTTTCTGAACATTCACAACTACAAATTTTGAATAGTCAGTTCCTGACTTGTGACTTCTACAACCAACAATTCAAGAAGGAAAAAAAACCATATATAATCCGACAGAACCTATAAAAAAGCAACCATTTGTGTCTGTAATAACAGCCATTTCAAACATAAATTTCCACAAACCCGTTTTGGATGCCTTTCTTCAACCACCATTTGTTTGTTTCTCTTCATACACTCAGTAGCTTTGCCAAATGAGTAGTCCATTGTGGTGGATAAATCTATAAGTTCTTTATGTAAAATCCCATCTTCTTTTTCTTCTTCTTCCACAAGAATTTGACAATTTCATTAAATAATTGTTTCCTCGTATGATCCAAGCCGCAGGTTTTCAGCTCAGCTACTGCCTGTGTCAGTGATTTGAAAATTTCTGGTTTTAGGTCAATTTATGAGATCAGAAGTCTAGAATAATCAGATAAATTTTCATCTCATAGCTACAAATAAGTGAGAAGAAACCACTTAGAGTATTAGTTTCTCCTCCAATTAATATATTTTGAACTCATAAGAGAAAGTCAATCCAATAATAGATTGGCTATGACCCGTTTGGTAATATTTCCATTTCACCTTTTTAGAAAAAGTTACAACATGTTTTATAAACATTTCCTTCTCTTTAATCTTCTTTTTTTTTCCCTTCAAAGTTCAGTGATTAATTTAGTTTTTTCATATTATATATACAACTTATGAGCTAAAAACAATAAAGGAATAATAAAATCCTTAATGTTTTGAAAATTTAGGAACAAGGGAAAAAATTATTCCAAAAATAGGATGAAATAAAAAGAATCGTTATTGACACAAGTTCTTAAAAAAAAAGGAATGGGTTGCAAATTCGATCTCTGGCTATCAATCAAATGGTCCAGAGTACAGCGGATGATTTCAAAAATATAGTTAAAGAAAGTAACAGTTTTCGTATGCAACAGTTTTAGAAAGATTCATTAATCTATTCAAAAACTGGAACATGAGACAGAACTCAACTAAAAAACAAAGAAACTAACATAGGAATGCTACTGAGAAAACAGGATCAGCCAAAACCCTGCTCCTAAAATGGTGTCTTTGGTACTCCCAACCATGGAAATTGCGAAAACTTCCAACAAGTTTCTTTAAAGTCTATTAATATTCATGGGGTTTCATCTCAGAACCAATTGACAATGAGAGGAGTAGTTCATGTCTATTATAAACCTAGGTAAGGTCCCTTCTTTTATCAATGTGGGATCCTTGACAATGTCATGTTTAAACATGTTACGAGACAAATACTCATGGCTAGAACCAAACGGACTAGACTGTTAATTAAACTTTTCTATCATATACTAAGTTTTCCAAAGATGTTAAATCAAGATCTGTCACATTTTCTTCCCACTTCTCTCAAGTACACATTGCCAAATTCATTGACATGGCTCACAGCACAACCAGAATTACTTCACCCTGTTTTTGAAATTTAACTAAGAATTGAAATGTGTTTTTAAGAAACGTGTACGTCGTAAAGATACCTATGAGAAAACAAGCATGATTTGTTAAACGAAATCATTATCAAACGGGCTTTCATTTTTGGGTTATGAAATCAAATAATTTCTTGTTCATTTTAGGAACAAAATGCAGAACAAAGAACATGATTACTCCTTAGTAGTAGAGAAAGCAACGTTACCTCATGTTGGCACAGGCTTCTGCAGCAACGCCGTCAAGTAAACTTCTCCGTTCTTCAACCCGCCGGAGTCGGTCTTACTCGCCGTGGCCCACTTCACCTTCCGGTACCCCAACTTTGTGATCAATGGAGAGTAAATTTTATCAAGATCCGCCCCTTTGCTGAAGAAATGATCAAACCAAAGGTAACCCCCAACTCTCAACACTCTATCCAGATCATAAAACAAAAACTCCATCGATTGCACCGGAATCCACCGGTTCACGGCGTGGCCACACC